AATAAATACAAATGCAATACATTTCAAGCAGCAATGGATGATGTGATCTGACCCTGATGCACTATGACTTGGATTCCACCTGAAAATTCTTTGGAAGTTATTCTGGGGCCTCATTTATCAAGCTTGCTTACGCACAAAACGGGGTCGGAAAACTGCGTAAGCAACTTTACATGCAAACTTTGGGATTTGTGAAAGAAAACTTAGCGGAGAAATGTGCACAACTTTAAGATGACTAAGGACCTTGCTTACGCACATTTTGGACATGGAGAGCAACTGCAGTGCTGCTGCTGAGAAGGTTACAATTATGAAATCCTGCAGCATTATCACTTGTACCACTTCGTTTTCACACAGAACAAGACCCCCCACACGCGCACATGCACGCACGCGCACACACACACACATGGACACACGCGCGCACACACACAGCCTGAAGTACAGAATACGGAATGGAGTATATCAGCAGGGGGACAGATTGAGACAGAATGTCATGCGTCTGTGACAGTGTTTGTCCTGTCACTGTGACCTGATTGAGCATGCACCCTGGCTACTAGGACAAGGGAGATCTCTGTTTGGCTGACTGGTTAGAGCGCATGACTTTCACCTGGGAGTCTGGGGATTACATCCCGATTGGACCATTTTTTCTATATCCACCACAGATCTCTCTGAAGAACTCAGCATTGACGGCTTCAGCAACGCTGTGCCACTCCGTGGATTTTCTCTTATTTGTTTAGCAAAAGCACTTCCTTTCATTTCTCTACCTCACCCACAAGTACCTCAATTTCTGCTTCTGTGAAATTGCACTTCCTTGATCTACGTTCACCATCGTCATTGGTGGAGCGCTGCAACAAGCTGGCTTATGTATATGCATGAGGTCCACAAGGCACTTTGCATTGATCATTTATGGCAGTAAGTGGGCGTGGGGAGGGCGGGATGTGACCAAAAAGCAGCTGAGAACCTATCTAGATAGTTTCTGATTTATAAAGCGGAGATTGCGTGCAGCTGTGCGTACTCCATGTTTGACAGATCGCAAACCTTCTTGGCGTAAGTACTTTTTTTTTTTTGCTGAGCTTAAGTACAGTTTTAGTAAGGATTCTATGCAATGTTTGATAAATGAGACCCCTGGTCATTGCAGGTACCTTTCAAATGATCCACATCTTTGAATTGTCATCAATTTTCTTCCCGTGGTCACATCCAAGGAGATGGGCAACAGGGTACTGAACCTCTGAATAGTTTGGGGAATTGGAGTCATAGAAATATCAAGCTGCTTGGACATGAGCTTATTATAACCTTTACTTGTTAATGTTTAGTAGTGTCTTGTTAATGTTTTAATGTTAGCTTCCTGAGGTCCATGTTCAGCATGGTACACACCTTGGTACCAAACAGCAATGTGACTATTTGTTATCCTTTGAATCATCAAATGATAAATGGGATGCAGTGATAGAAGCAAGGCTGCTAAGTAATGGCTGAACCTTCCACCTCCATCAGCAGGCAAGAAGGGCTAAGTGTCTTGCCCAAGGGCACAACAACTACAACAGGCAAGGCTTGAACCTGCAACCCACTGGTAACAAGCTGGGCACATAACTCCTCTGCCACCATTGCCCCTGACAGACAGACCGAATAAAAGATTAAGGACATGCATGAAACCAATTATTTGAACATGATCTTTTTGTAAAACATTTTTAATGTGGTATAGGGGTAACATAATTTTCAAAAAGTTTTATAAACTTCACTTTTATCAGTTTCCAAGTTATTTCACTTATTCCAGTTATTTCAACTATAGTGGCCTTTTATTTCTTTAATCAAGGGATACAAACTATTTTACCTCCATCATTTATATATTACTAATGATTTTAGATTTCGATTTTTATCCTAAAACTGCACAACAATAATTCCTAAGGGATCAAAATAATATTTATTTTTGATTAAACATTTTATTGGTCAAACCTAAAGAAAAACACATTTCAAAAGCATTTTGTTGACATTTTAGTCACGTAAATTAATTTTATTTATTATAGTACAGTTGAAATTATTTGTTTATACTCTTGTAAAGTTTGTGTAAGATATTTTGATTGGTTTCTGTTTTGATAACTGACAGCTACACTTGCAAACACTTTGGTTTAGATTGGTTTCATTTAAAATAAAAATACCTTAATTTTCTGCATGCATTTTGATTGGATTTAGGCAGAAAATTATGGGCTGAATATTTATGTGCTGAGCATATTTTTGAGTACTTGCTGATTGCATGACCCAATTTCAGATTTGTGAAATCCGGCTACCCTACTTAGATGATATTGTGTGTCGAGGGATGAATTTCTTCTCTCAGTTTCATATCCCTTTATGTCCACAGTCATTTTTGTGATGTCTGTTAAATGCTTTACAGTCCATGTCAAATATACAGATCCCTATTTTTGGTGATTTTGGCCTAAGAGGAGGGCTTCATAACCTCTGTAATCTATTTTGATGTAATGACCCAATGTATTGCATATTTGGTTCTGTCTGTACAATTCTGACCCTTTCCATCTGCTGCAGCTGTGTTCCTTCTGTTCCCTTTTGTCCCCTTCCGACAATCCAGACATAAAGCACTTCAGCTTTAAACAGCATTTATATTTAAAATGAATAAAAACCAATCCAAAAAGTCACACTGAATGAACATTTATTTTATTATAGGTGTAATAAAGTATTTAAATGATGCTGTCACTTTAAAGAGCCATTGTAGAGGCTCATTAATGTACTGCACCATGGAAACAATTTGGACATTTTTTAAAGTGTAAAGTTTTAAAAACGGATGCCTGCTCTAAAGGAAAATGAACTAAAAGGGATAAAAGGCAACTTTTTCATATTTTTAAAGACTTCTCTTAAGTCAGTAGGTGCTAAAATGACAGGATTGATTAAATGTCACTCAGAGCCCCACCACCCTCTGTGGTCAGAATATCGCATTTGCAACTTCAGAGTGCTGGTCCGGTCTGTTGGACTTAGTACAAAATGGAGCTGACATACCTGGCGCTGCAGTCAGCTTCCAGATTTTGTAGATCATGAAAACAAGCTGATTTGTTTAATTTAATGATGAACAGCTCCTGTAGACACTAAGGAAGACTGAGAAAACATTTCAGCAGTTATATTAAGATGTTAAAAAAACGAACGCACAAGAAGGAGATAAGTTTTGCTTTTAGTGCTATTAAACGGACACTAGAGGGTGCTAAAAGCGAGCCAAAACTGACTAGTTAACCCTTTAATCTAAATAAAATGAAACTTCCACACAATACGAATCTCGCCACTGTTATTTGGTACTTTTTACTTCTTGTGGCATTTTGAAAATAATAGTTTGTGTTTTGTCTCAGCTTTTGTTAGCTTTAAAATAAATAAACAATCAAATACATCTTATTACTGGTATTTTTGTAATTTGTAGTCATTTATTTAAACAATTATTTTTCTGAAATGCATAGCTGACAAAATTTAATTTGTCTTTGGTGTTGATTAGAATAATTTTAAATATTTATTTAAAACTTCATCTCATTAAATCAAATAAATGAAGACTAAACTAAAACTTTACAGGTCCAATATGTTTTAAGCATTTTCTCATTGATGAGCATTAATTTAACAGATTATTTCAGCTTTTCTATGATCATTCATAGTTATAAGCTAACTGAATCTAGTTTTGCTAACTTTTGTTGTGTTTGCTTGTATTGATGAAAACCCAATGAACTTACAGAAAATTCTAAATTCAATCCACAGGTTGGAAATTTAATCACAAATATGCATTTTTACCAACGAGGTACCAATCCAGCATTACTATTATTTTTCTTTGTGAACTCAAGTCTCATGTTTTTGACACTATGCTAATTAAATAGTTAACATTTGTTGGAACTTCTGAGGCAGGAGAAACAATGAAAGTAACATCATTTAAAGTTAGAGAGAAATAAAAAAAAAAGTTTGGAGGTCTTCCACCCTGATCTCATGATGTGACAAAAGCTTTTCCTACTAATTTAAACTTAACAATCATGGAAATAATCATTTTTTAGTTTGCAGTCCATTGTAATATAATGAGACCTTTTTTCTATGAACCTGAACCAGTTAAATCATCAAACACTGTGATAAATCTATGTAAAAAAAAATCTGTATGCTACTTTTCTTTTTAATTGCCTCTTTGTGTAATCCCGCTCTCCCATCACAATAATAACTATAATCTTATTGAAGTCAGACATCTGAGACCTATTTGCAAAATGAACTAATATGACACTGGTAATGTATGAGAGGTGTACTGTGATTTTCTTATGTTTAGGATATTAAAACTCACACTGAAACTCAAGCAGAAAGGTTTGGGAACCATTGATCTAAATGACAGAACATCTAGGCCAAAGTGATTTTTATCTCATTCGGTCAGAAAGAAAGTATTCAACCTAAAGAACAACAATGTTTCACTAGCGACTGCATTGAAGAGTAGGGGGGAAGAAAATTCCGCATTAGAATCTAAAGTGCCTGGAATGATGTGTATGCAAAAGTTTTACAAAGTCAACTAAGCTACAAATGAGCAGCTAATTAGGCTGCCAACTGATATTAGGGGAGCTCATCCCTGGTGTAAGTTGAAACTAACAGAAAAGCAATGCAGAGACTTTGCAAAACATTTTACGTCAACATTACTGAGATTTAGCGGGTGATGTGCACACGCCCTGTAAATGAGGACAAAAGGCGGCCATCAACGTTGTACCTCTAAGGCTGTAGAGAGACACTTCACATCATTAATTTTCTTCATCTGCCTCTAATGAGCTAATTACTGACTTGGTCCAGTTCACCAGTCATTAACTCATTGTTACACAGAAGCTACACAATTTGTTTGCTTCTAGGTTGTTTGTGTGATCCTAAAATAGGATGTGTGCTGCAGAGGTACTGAATGTGTCCATCATTATCTGGTGCTTAACACATGCAGCTTAGGTGAAAACAAAACCGCCAGCCCAAGCTCTTGTGATGCAGTCAAGAGTGGTTTTCAAAAGATAAAACCTCACCTCAAACCATACAGCACGGTGCCGTCTGGATGCAGCCGGATCATTCTATTTTTCACCGTGACACCATGGACAAACGATTTCTTGTCGTTGAGGAAGTAGGTGTCGGGGACCCAGAGCTGATCAGCCACCCGGTTATCTAAGGTCAAGTTGAGCGGGATCTCAGAGTAGGACAGCCGCTTGTCTCGCCAGGCCTGCTGGAAGTACATTGTCAATGTGTAGTCCTGTGAGTGCACAGAGAAGGAAAAAAGAGGGACAAGTGTTAATGATGAAGTGGACGCCAGCCATGAGTTGGGGAGACACACAGATAAAGAATCTGTAGAAGAGAAAAGAAAGGAGACAATTACTTTAAAGTGATGATGTGTATTTTCCCTGGCAATTAGGGCTGGGCGATATGGCCTAAAATCAATATCACAATGCTCTTCAGAGAGCGTCTTCTGAACTAGCACCATCCCTGCACCCGTCCCCCTCTCTACTGTCCACTCCTTGTTCCCACCTCTCCATGATTCATCATGCTGCCTCACTGCCACCTACGACTGACTGGAAATTGGTTGTTGTTGTTGTTATTGTTGTTGTTAGCCTCAAGGGCAACATGCCGATTATCACTTGTAAGTCGCTTTGGAAAAAAGCGTCTGCTAAATACATAAACAGAAACACAAACATATTGAGGGTTTCACCTCGATAACGATAAATGAACGATGACTACAGGTATGCACAGAAACAAAAGTTGTTCATTAGATGGGGCTGTCACATGTATCATGTTAACTCACATTTTTATGAGACTCGAGGTGGTACAGCTTTTTAAAGGGACAAGAACATTGCCAACCTACACACATCTTTTCATTTTTTTTTTACTATAAAATGTATTGACATGGGAAAAATGATCTCGATAAGTCAGAAATTTCAATAACGATCAATTTTCGATTCATTGCCAAGCCCTACTGTGAAACAACCCTCATGTAAACCCCTCTTATCTCTATTAAGGTAGCGCGACTCATGGTTGCGAATGACCACAGTCATCAATTCTTGTCATGTGTCTTGCCAATGTATGTCTGATCTCTGAATTGTGTGTACTGAAACTCTAATTTCCCTCTGGGATTAATAAAGTACCTTTGATTGATAAGGGGCAGTACATACCTAAATCCTTGCAAATAAGCAGCATTTTTGTGTTCGAGTGAGACCTTACCAACGGAAGGCCGTTAGGGTCAAAAACCCCTCCGTGTGCAATTTTCAAATAAGTACTCCATCAGATCGTTCAACCTCCAGCAAAATGACTCCCCTTCATCACCGGGAATGAGCTAAGAGGTAAATGGGTGAAACAACAATGTTTTTGAATAGCGATAGTTTTGTGACTGCTTGTAAAAAATCAGTAAATGTATTTTGTCCTCACAAGCTCATGTAGAAGGAAACATGGCATCTAATATGGCCTCGTCCAGCGACTTAGACTCACTCCCATGTATTTTAGACCCGGTTTTCATGGTTATATTTAATGAACAACTGGGCATCATTTAATTTATTTTCAGCAATATTTCAATGGATATTTCCTGAGATTAATGGTAAAAGCTCCACAATGTCACTTAAAAAAAGTACATTACATGTTTTTTTAAAGGCAAGATCTACAATTAAATTAGGCCAGACATCAATATTGTATGAAGTTCACTTTAAGTCAAATGGAACAGTCGTGTCACAGACCGGGAAAAGAAGAGCCAGTACAAAGAGGTGAGGAATTCCTTCTCTTTACAGAAACATGGTACAATGTGCATGTGCCAGAGAGTAAAAAATAAATAAATAAAGAGCGAGAGAGACACGATTAAAGTGCGTACATTATAATGTTGTATTTTATTGCCTTTAAACGGATGTTCACTCAATCCTCATGCATCATGAGGTTATTCGTGTTCAAGGTCACATCGATTTGCATCACATTCATTATCCTCTTCCTCTCACTGGCCAATAAAATATGCTTAGAACCAGTGGTTGGTTGTAAGTGTATGCATGAAGTTCATGCTGATGTCAAGGAGCAGATCATTTGTGACAACATACAAATACTATTGGCCCATTTCTAGGTCAGCTAAATATAGAAGAGTCCTCCTAAATGTCATTTTTTATAGCAACGGCTGTTTCTCATTTGTCGAACCAATATAACTGATATAAAAACAAGGCCAAAATGAAGAAAAACCAAATACACTTTTCAGGGCACCTCTGGTATAATATATGTTCATGTTTTTCTCAGCTGGTGTTGTGTGTCTGGGATTATAAGATGAAGGGAGCAAACATGGCCTTATCGAGACTAATTATTTCTAACCTTTGTGAGGCCTGATAAAAATAAAATAAAATAAAAATACACACTTTCATAAAACATTTTCTATTTGCTGCATTTGCTTTGACAGTAACTTTGAGCACTGTTATCTGTAAAATCTCCACCCATTTGCTTGTTTTTATTTTTCCCAGAACTAGACAACTACAGTGTATATACCATCAGGCATCATTTGCAGCTTTTGGGCGACTGTAGGTACTCTTTGTCAACCTCATATAGTAGAGACAAAGTCTGAAGTGAGAAAATGTCTCATTCAGTGAGTGGTTAAAAATTAAATGATGTGTCACTTTCACAAGACAGGGTTCAAGTGATCCAGCCGTCTTAACATTTATCTCCTCACAACTTGAATTTTGTGATATGAAAGCTAGTGAGAAAACAAGGTATAAAGGGCTGCAAAACATGTGACTGCAGAAGGATGAGCATGACTCAAATAAGCCACAATCTCACAGAGATTATATTGACAACTAGCTGAAAACACATAATTGAGAGAAGACATGCAATTTTCCAGTTGAAATCATTCTAAAATGAAACATGTACCATTTTGAGTCTAGTTTTATACATAAGAAAGAAAGAAAGAAAACAATATTTTATATAGCGCCTCTCAAGATAAAAAATCACGACGTGCATAGGCCTAAGGCATGAGATGGTATTCCTAAAAGAATCTTACAGGCATGCAAAACTGTGAACAAGTACTTTTCTGCTAATGTTTCTTTATTAAATGTGAAATAATAGACTCTGTTCCCTTTCTACTCTCTGATGGAAGCAAATGTTACACCCAGGTCAGGTTCAGGGCAAATTGCCTTGAGTAAAATATTTAAAACTGTCCACCCAGAATTTCATTTACGATAATGCCTAAGTAAGATTTGATTTTAATATTTTTAACACCAAATAATTCTGTAAACAAGATTTTAGATAAGTGCAGAAACATGGCTTATTGGTCACTTAGTGAGAAAGCACAGGGCTGGAGTAAAATAAAGAAAAAATGGGTTGAAACACATGAATGTTTGACTTGAGTCCCTGCAAATCACTTACTTTAATAACCGGGGGCTTCATTTATCAAGCTTGCTTACTCACAAAACAGGGTAGGAAAACTGCGTAAGCAATTTTTCATGCAAACTTTGCGATTTATGAAAGTAAACTTAGCGGAAAACTGTGCACAACTTTAAGTTGACTAAGGACCTTGCTTACACACATTTTGGACATGGAGAGCTCATGCAGTGCTGTTGCTGAGAAGGATAAAATTATCAAATCCTGCAGCATTATCACTTGTACTGCTTCGTTTTCTCACAGAACAAGACCCCCCACATGCACACACACGTTTGTAGGTAAATATATGAAAAAGTATGGGTGGAGAGGACGTCCCTTTTAGAAGACTGTAATTGAACAAGTTCATCTGTTAACTTTTTCATTACAAGTAACTTTGCCCACTCTTGCAGCGCTAGAGCTCAGCAGACACAGTGACAATTAAGAGTAGGTACCTGATAGGTAATTTTAGATTTATCCCATATTACCTTAAAGGACGACACACACACAGAGAGAGAAATTATTTGTAATGTCCATGAATCGTCATGCGAGAGCTGGGCGCAGAAACCCCTCCATGGTGCTAACCAGCCCCCCTCTGTTCCTGGGGAAAGCCTTCAGGTCATCAGCTCTGCATGCCCCGGCATCTCCACCAAATGTTAGGTAATTAAATGTTAAGTGATATTTAATCTCCATAACCCTGAAACCTAAAATCAACACACATGACAACAAGGAAGACATTTTACCCTGAGTCCCCAAAATAAATGGAGAGGTAACGCAGGGAAAAACCTCCTCTGAGGCTTTTCCCCCGTCACTCCCATGTGCCCCCAGTTCGTCAGGGGCTTTATTCACAAAGGATGGAGGAGAAGGCGGGCCTTCTCAGGTTACAGAGGTACAGAGGTTTCCTTGGAAATCTACAATCAACATCCTGGAAATCCACAATCAACATCCTTGACTGCAAACAAGCTTCTCTGCTCAACCGTTCATAAACAGCCACAGTTGGCAAACACAAGAGATTCATGAAGTATTAAGAACACAAAATGGGCATCTTTTAGGCCTCAAAAAGGTACAATTATAAAAATACCCAACAACCTGCATAATTCAATTCACACCAAACTACACGGAACTGATTGTTGTCAACCTACAAGCTACTCCATGGGATATTTTCCTAAATTTGGGACAGTGCCCCTTAGATACAATAAAATCTTTGTAACTTCTACAAAAAAGCTCCAAACTATATCAAACATGGTGGGAGTCATCACGCAACTGCAATAAACACATGTATGTGCTCACTCGTTCAAATTGCTTTAACTCCGCCCACACACAGCCTTTTGGCTGTAGATGACCCATGCAATGTTTGATTGATGCCAAATTAACAGAAAACCATCTTTGATGACCAAAGATGACCTCTATGGGATTTAGTTTTAAATGGTCACAGTGCCCCTTAGATAGGTTCAAACTTTATTAACTTCTAAAGACAAGGTCAGAGTGGCATTATACTTGGATTGTGTCATCTCCTGACTGCACCAAACACATTGATGTGGTTGTTAGTTCAAATCCCTTTAGGTCCTTCCCTTTCAGCTCTCTGGCTCTAGAAAGCACACGCAAAGTGTGATTGATGCCAAACTACCACAGAGCCATCTTTGACTCCCTAAGAGGACCTCAATGGGATTTTTATGTAATTGGTCACAGCGCCCCCTAGATAATATTAACCTTCATTAACTTCAAAAAACGTGGGCAGAAAAACTTGGTCTGTGTCATTACACCACCAGTGTGGTAAAGATAGAGTATCCCCTAGTGGTGACATGTAATTTACTGGTGGGCTCAGAGGACATGCTGAGTCAGGGTGAGGTGTGGATGAGGAGACCATTGGCGATTTCTGGTGTCGGG